TAATATTTTCAATTTAAAAATTTTCTTTTCCCTAAAAATTCCCTGCGCATTTCAATAACCTGTTCAATAAAATATCTATATTACAAATCAATACAAAAATTTGTTCATTTTCATAAACACCACAGTTGAATTTCAGCACAATATCCATAAAAATACAATATCAACTACATGCGAATTACTAAACCTGTCTCCTAATATCCACAAAAATATTTCTACCAATATCCACAAAAATACAATATCAATCGCATGCGGATTACCAAACACGTCTCCTAATATTTACAAAAAACATGTCTACTGATATCCACAAAAATATAATATCAAGTGTGGATGACCAAACATGTCCTGTAATACCCACAAAAATATAAAATTTAAAATGCAATCAAAATACATGTAAGGTAAAATGAACAAAAACACAAAATGAACTAGATTCTGCTCTCCAGATTACCATACTTGTCCATATCTAATCTCGAATCTATAGCAAAACAAAACACAAAAAAAGAAAAAGAAAAAAAAAGAATACAAATTAGACAATTATTATCTTATCAATTAAATATATAATTTAACATACATTTTTGGACTTAGTTTTCAAACCGGGAGTCCCGTGCTAGTTCCGTAAGTTTACACAAGTTACAATGGTCGCTTCTGAGGTGTTTGAGGTGTTCCCCGGACTTTCTCGTGGTCGTTTAACGATTTTGGCCCGATAGCCTATTTTCAAGCTTAAGTGTAAGAAAAATGTATTTTTTGACTTAGTTTTCAAACCAGGAGTCCCGTGCAAGTTCTATAAGTTTTCACAACTTACATTGGTCCCTCCCGAGATGTTTGAGGTGTTCCCCAGGCCTTTTCATGATTGTTACACAATTTTGGCCCCCGATGGCCTATTTCAAAGCTTAAGTCTGAGAAAAATGCATTTTTCAACTTAGTTTTCAAACCGGGAGTCCCGTGCTAGTTCCGTAAGATCCACAACTTACATTGGTTCCTCCCAAGGTGTTTAAAATGTTTCAGGGCCTTCTCGTGACTGTTATACGATTTTGGTCCCATATAACCTATTTTCAAGCTTAAGTGTGATAAAAGTGCATTTTTTCGACTTAGTTTTCAAACCGGGAGTCCCATGCTAGTTCTTAAAGTTTCTAAAACTTACATTGGTCCCTTCCAAGGTATTTGAGGTGTTCCTCATGCTTTCTCGTGTCTGTTACACAATTTTGGCCCTCGATGGCCTATTTTCAAGCTTATGTGTGAAAAAAGTGCATTTTTGGACTTAGTTTTTAAACCAGGAGTCTCGTACCTGTTTTGTAAGTTTACACAAGTTACAGCGGTCGCTTCCAAGGTGTTTGAGGTGTTCCCAGAGCCTTCTCATGGTTTTTTAATGATTTTGGCCTCCGATAGCGTATTTTCAAGTTTAAGTGTGAGAAAAGTGCATTTTTCGACGTAGTTTTCAAATCAGGAGTCCTATGCAAGTTCTGTAAGTTTCCACAACTTACATTAGTCTCTCTTGAGGTGTCTGAGGTGTTCTCTGGGCCTTCTCATGACTGTAACACGGTTTTGGCCCCCAATGGCCTATTTTCAAGCTTAAGTGTGAGAAAAATGCATTTTTCGACTTAGTTTTCAAATTAGGAGTCCCGTGCTAGTTCCGTAAGTTTTCACAACTTGCATTGGTCTCTCCCGAGGTGTTTTAGGCATTCCTCGGGCCTTCTCATGACTGTTACACGATTTTGGCCCCATATGGCCTATTTTCAAGCTTAAATGTGAGAAAAGTGTATGTTTGACTTAGTTTTCAAACCGGGAGTCCCATGTTAGTTTTGTAAGTTTTCATAACTTACATTGGTCCCTCCCGAGGTGTTTTAGGTGTTTCCCAGGCCATCTCGTGGCTGTTTCACGATTTTGGCCCCTAATGGCTTATTTTCAAGTCTAAGTGTTGGAAAAGTGCATTTTTTAACTTAGTTTCAAACCGGGAGTCCCATACTAGTTCTATAAGTTTTCAAAAGTTACAATGGTCCCTTCCGACGTATTTGAGGTGTTCCCCAGGCCTTATCGTGGTTGTTTCAAGATTTTGGCCCCCGATGGCCTATTTTCAAGCTTAAGAGTTGAAAAAATGCATTTTTCGACTTAGTTTTCAAACCGAGAGTCCTGTGCTAGTTCCATAAGTTTCCATAACTTACATTGGTTCCTTCTAAGGTGTTCAAGGTGTTTCCTAGGCCTTCTCATGGCAGTTACACGATTTTGGTCCCCGATAGCCTGTTTTCAAGCTAAAGTGTTGGAAAAGGTATTTTTTGACTTGGTTTTCAAACAGGGAGTCTCGTGCTAGTTCCGTAAGTTTTCATAACTTACATTGGCCCCTCCTAAGGTGTTCAGGGTGTTTCCCAGGCCTTCTTGTGGTTGTTACATGATTTTGACCCCCGACAGCCTATTTTCAAGCTTGAGTGTTGGAAAAGTACATTTTTTGACTTAGTTTTCAAACCGGGAGTCCCGTGCTAGTTCTGTAAGTTTTCAAAACGTAAATTGGTCTATCTTGAGGTGTTTGGGGTGTTCCCTAGGCTTTCTCATGGCTGTTACATGATTTTGGCCCCCGATGGCCTATTTTCAAGCCTAAGTGTTGGAAAAGTGTATTTTTTTGACTTAGTTTTCAAACTCGGGAGTCACGTGCTAGTTCTATAAGTTTTCACAAGTTACAATAGCCCCTTTCGAGGTGTTTGAGGTGTTTCCCAGGCCTTGGCGTGGTTGTTTCACGATTTTGGCCCTCGATAGCCTATTTTCAAACTTAAGTGTTGGAAAAATATATTTTTTGACTTAGTTTTTAAACCAGGAGTCCCGTGCTAGTTTCGTAAGTTTCAACAACTTACATTAGTCCCTCCCGGGGTGTTCAGGGTGTTCCCTAGGCCTTCTCGTGGCTGTTACACGATTTTGGCCCCTAATGGCCTATTTTCAAGCCTAAATATTGGAAAAATGAATTTTTCGACTTAGTTTTCAAATCGGGAGTCCTGTGCTAGTTCCGTAAGTTTATAAAAGTTACAATGGTCCCTCCTGAGGTGTTTGAGGTGTTTCTTGGGCCTTATCGTGGCTGTTACATGACTTTGGCCCCCGATGGCTTATTTTTAAGCTTTGAGTGTTAAAAAAGTGCATTTTTTTTACTTAGTCTTCAAACCAGGAGTCCCATGCTAGTTTTGCAAGTTTTCACAGGTTACAATTGTCCCTTCCGAGGTGTTTAAGGTGTCCCTCAGGCCTTGTCATAGTTAATTCACGATTTTGGCGTCCGATGGCTTATTTTCAAGCTTAAGTGTTGGATAAATGCATTTTTTGACTTAGTTTTCAAACCGGGAGTTCCATGCTAGTTCCGTAAGTTTCCACAACTTACATTGGTACCTCTTGAGGTGTTCAAGGTGTTCCTTGAGCCTTCTCATGGCTGTTACATCATTTTCACCCCCGATGGCCTATTTTCAAGTCTAAGTGTTGAAAAAGTGCATTTTTCGACTTAGTTTTCAAACCTGGAGTCTCGTGCTAGTTTCATAAGTTTACACAAGTTACAATGGTCCCTTCCTAGGTGTTTGAGTTATTCCCCGGGCCTTCTCGTGGTTGTTTCACGATTTTCGCCCCCGATGTCCTATTTTCAAGCTTGAGTGTTGGAAAAATACATTTTTTTGACTTAGTTTTCAAACCAGGAGTCCCATGCTAGTTCCATAAGTTTAAAAAACTTACATTGGTCCCTCCCGAGGTGTTTGAGGTGTTCCTCGGGCCTTCTCATGGCTGTTACACAATTTTGGCCCCTTTGATGGCCTATATTCAATCTTAAGTGTTAAAAAAGTGTATTTTTTGACTTAGCTTTCAAGCAAAGAGTCCCGTGCTAGTTCCGTAAATTTTTCACAACTTACATTGGTCCCTCTCGAGGTGTTTGAGTTGTTCCTTGAGCCTTTTCGTGGCTGTTGCACGATTTTGGCCCCCCGATGGCCTATATTCAATCTAAAGTGTTAGAAAAGTGTATTTTTTTATTTAGTTTTCAAACCAAGAGTCTCATGCTAGTTCTGTAAGTTTCCACAACTTAAATTAGTCTCTCTTGAGGTGTTTGAGGCGTTCCCCAGGCCTTCTCATGGCTGTTACACGATTTTGGCCCCCTGATGGCTTATTTTCAAGCTTAAGTGGTTGAAAAATGCATTTTTTGACTTAGTTTTCAAACCGGGAATCCTGTGCTAGTTCCGTAAGTTTTCATAACTTACATTGGTCCCTCTCGAGGTGTTCAAGGTGTTTCCTGGCCCTTCTAGTGGCTGTTACATGATTTTGGCCCCAATAGCCTATTTTCAAGCCTAAGTGTTGGAAAAGTGCGTTTTTCTACTTAGTTTTCAAGCAAAGAGTCTCGTGCTAGTTCCATAAGTTTCTACAACTTGCATCAGTCCCTCCTGAAGTGTTCCCCGGCCTACTCATGGTTGTTTCACGATTTTGGAGCCTGATGGCATATTTTCAAGCCTAAGTGTTGGAAAAGTGCCTTTTTCTACTTAGTTTGCAAATCGAGAGTCCCGTGCTAGTTCCGTAAGTTTCTACAACTTACATTAGTCCCTCCCATGTTGTTATCACAATAATTTCTCATTGCCGAGTGTGAAGTTAGTTTCTCAAGGAAGTGCAAAAATATCAATAACTACAAAGACGTAGATAGATAGTTTATTCTAGATGTTTACAACATCATTGATTTCAAGTTAGGATACTTCCCCATCTCACTGTTATAAATATATTAGTAAATTACAAATTTGCATAGAGCTATATTTGGATGGAGGCTTGGAACTGCAGCATGCAAGCTCGGTATATCTTGATTCAGATCATGGTCATCAGAAGTCAAAAATGAAACAAAAACAACAACAAAAAACTTGTTTTGACTTGTATTAACCAAATGCTGCATAGACATAGAATAGTCATCTATTGTTTAATTTATGACAAAAAGTTAGATATCAGCATTAACCTCATGGTACAATAGGATATAACTAGCATATAGCTCTAAAAGGTACACATTGAAGGAAATATGATAAAAGTTAAATCCCAGTTAGCAGTAATTACTGTAGAAGCTGGAAATTTGGTCAAATCAACAAGCCCAAACCCCTTTAAGACAGAGGTCTTGAGTACAACACAATTAATATTTCAACAACTGTCTAGTAAAAAGTAATTGCCTCACTACTCTACTCTAGGACCCTAACTCTTGTAAGATGCATGCACACAATTAAAATACACGACAGATTCAAATTTCTTAAATTAGAAGCCAACTGATATTTTCATGAAATTTGCCAAATACTAGTCCTGCTAATTGCTTGAAATAATTCCAAATCTAACAGAACACATGGGCCAAATAAACTAACAATAAAAAGGACATACGCCTGTGGCGTCAGAGATGGAGGAGCCGCATCAATGGGAGAAAGAGTTGTGGCTTTTTTAGCTAAATTGTACAAGGCTATAGAACCATCAAGTTGCTGCTTTAGGTTCGTGCAACCAAGAAGACCAATTGGTAACTCTAATCCTGCACACAAGTGATATAAGCAATTGAAATCAATAGGGACAACAGTTTCAATTATGTCAAATGTTAGCCTAGAAAATGGCATACCATTGTTATCAATGAATATTGTTCTTTGATCCTCTGCTGAACAAAGGTTGGCAAGAGCCAAAACAACTTGTCTTTGAACAGCTTCTCTGCTATACGCATCAGATATAACAAATGGCTCAAAACCTACAAGGGAGAAATTAAGGGATTTAGATTCAAGAATGTAAATAAAAAAGCACTAGAACTAAACCATAATCATATAATTTAGCATCTATACACAAAAAAAAGCTCACCCGTCCCTGAATCTTCTCCTCTAATCTTTTCAGTGTCTTGGCTACACAATGTACTCAATAAAGTTTATAATTATAGAAACTAAAAATTTGAAGACAGCGTATCATATAAGAGGAACTGACAAAAACAAGAAGGAAATTTTGGTATATGATAATAATGGGAAGGCACAGATATAAACCACACTTTGGGAACCTTCAGTAGTTTGGCCATCTTGTTGTTCAATATAGGCACCTATCTGAGAACAACTTTGGCCCACTTAACATGACTAGACATCAAATTTTAAAACCATGCACCTACTTAGATGCCTGCTTTTTTCTCTCTTCTTGTCACCCTGCCACCGCAAGGAGGTATCCATAGCATAGAACCACTTAACATCATTTGAACCAGAATATGGTGTCATTTTCATTTCACAAGAATCTACTAACCAAAAATACAAAGTTTGTTTTTGCTTTTGTTCTTTTCACAAAAAGAATTTAAAGCAATTACAACAAAAAATACTTCCCATCTTTTTTTCTTTTTTTTGTTCATATTCCCTATCTTTGAAAAATAACTTCCATCTCCTCAGTTATGACCTACACAATCAAAGTTTTCAAAAGTTCAGAAATTCAATGGATGCATTAACTTAGACTCATCATATACACCCAACAATCATTAGTTAGCTGGAAGACAACATCTGTAGGTACAATGGCAGAAAATTTATAGGTCAACCGTATCAACTAATTGTAATTTTTTAGTAATAAGAGAAAGAAAGAAATGAGAACTAACCTGTGCTAACCTACCTAGTGCAAAGGCCGACGTTTCTCTAAGCTGTACATCTGGGGATTGAAGCATCTCAATCAAAGTCTGGGCAGCTCCTCTCTGCACAATACGCACTTGCAAATAATCTTACTTTCTTAAAAACGAAAACAATAAAAAGATAAAAGGAAAACACACAATTAAATCTTAATTAAAAGAGCAGCACAAAATTATGAGTACAATTTTTAGAAGGCAAATTATGAGTACAATTCTATCCACAACTTTCAGGACCAAAGAGAGAGAGAGAGCAAATACTGCACAACCAAAAAAAATTCCTATAAAAGAGCAATGTTATGGTTGAGACTAATTGCAAGTGTGAATCCCACAACAAAGACATATATTACAACACATATTAATGAGAACAATTGAGACTAACTACTTCAGACTTCAATAAGAATAGCTCACAAACACAAACATAGTTATAGATGTTCATTATAACTACAATCAATTTGCCATTTTCCTTTTGTCAATTTACCATCATAATTGCCATTTGAAAACAAAAACTATCGAAATTCACCCATACAACAAATATAACATATCCGGGTTTTCAGTAGATTCGCTCTCAACCTCGTAAGACCATTATGGGTTTTTAGTAGGTTCACCGTTAACCTCATCCATGTATGTGATTGTGTACATGCGTGTATATATATATATATATATCAATGTGTAGAAGATACCTGCTCGTCAATTCCTATCAATTCCTGTCTAAGGCCTTTGAGAAAAGTCACCTTAAGATCAATCTCTATTACAAGATCCACAAAACCTGAGACCAAAGCATTCAAAGAAAAACACAGCATAACTAATAAATATTCAAAGAAATACATTCACCTAAACTTAATTATATTTAACATGAAGATTACAAAAAAGTTATAGCTGTAACAAATCATAAGCAAGTGGTAGAAGAAAAACTATTTTAATATCAAATCACATAATTTGTTTGCCAGAATTAATGTGCTATTGTTGGAGGATACCCATATGACTCATGCAGATGTCGCAGAAAAACTAATAACTGTTTCAAAAAGGAATCACGGTAGCAAAGATGCTATAGAGGTAAGAGAACACTGTAATCAGCATGGCCTGTAGCCAGCAAAGAAATAAACCAGCCAGCTGTAGACGTCCCCGAACGTCCCAGGAGGGAGATTCCGTTTTGTTCTTTGGACTAACTACAGTTCAGGACTCAAATGTCACGGTCCTGTATCTAATCTCGCAGAGTGCAATGCAAGACCGATGAATCATCAAAGAGTCCAAATCTGGCAAATCGTTTTTAAAAACATATTTTTTTGAAAGGAGTGCCAAACATAGACTTCTTTGCCAGATACAGAGTCGCCACCTAAATATTTTATTTTTGGAAAATTTAGGAAACCCCGACTCATTTGCCTAAGCCCACGTGTCCGTCATCACCAAAGTTGCCTCGGCTCGGGAACTTCGGTACGATTGGGGAAGGTCACTTCGTGAGCACCCCCGCTCGCCCGATCAAAGATCGGCCTCTACTAACCATGATATCGGGTTTCGAAAACATTATGCATTCTTATTCCGGTTATTAGTCTAGATTTACTATGTGATGCGCACAGCATATAAGTATAGACTGGATGCCTGAATTGGAACAACACATCTCATGTTTGCTTTTGAGACGGTTTGCTACTCGCAAGTAGGCTAAAATGCGAATTTGCCACCCTCAGGTGGGCTTAAAAAACAAGATGATTTGCCACTCTCAAGTGGGCTTAAAACTCACAGTCAATGCATTATTCCAATTCAGATAACCCAACCTTCACCAACAGGCATTCAAGTAGATATATCACATAAGCACATAGCCTCATGGTAAGAATGCTATCATGGCAGTCACTCACACACATGCAAGGATACTTAAACATAAACACTTACCGAGTACTCCAGGCCAAAACAAAAGCTATGTTAGAAATCCATGCATGATCCTAACTATACAGAAATGCCTAATGCAACACATGCAAAATGCAACTATAGTAGGCTCGGCTATTCTAAAGATGGCATGTGAAATGCTACAACTAACAAGTATTCAACTCGGAATTGAAATACAATGCAGTTAGTATGATGCACCGAGCCTAGTGCATGCAAGACAGATGAATGCATGTAAACATGCTATCATAAGTATGCTAATTGAAACATGTCCTAATCTAACCATCATAAGCTGGTAAATAAAAGGGAGAAAGACGTGGGGTTGGAAGACATACATCACACATATGCACACTTATTACAACATTGCCCCCCTCGAGGGATCTGAATAAATAATACAGTCCGAATAAATAAAAGCTACAGTTATTTATTACACAACAGTAACTAATTAACAAATTAGCTAAGTAAGCATGTAAACTACATGAATGTGACTGCCTCGGCCCTATTTTGGGTGACGATGGATGCATGCATGCTCGAGTCGCCTCGTCGGGAAATTCCATCGCGATGCCTCGTCTCGCCTTTGTTTGCAACTGATTTTAGAAATTTGCACGAGGCTCCAAGAGGCTGAAACTCCACCCTGGGAGGATTGCCGACCAGCTATTGACTTGGGAAACATCTATCGACCACCCTTTGTGGTGGATACCAAAAAAGGTGGTCGGCCTGCCAGAAAACCTGGTCGGCCGACCACTTTCTGCCCCTGGATCTTGGTTTTTCTGCAACAAAGGCAAGAGGAAGAGAAAGCAAGGTATTTTCAGCATATGTGTGCAAGACCACTCTCCCCGTCCTTACACAAGTTCAAGAAAGTGTAGACCTCGATCCTCGTGCCACCAATCACGTATTTCGATGCATGATGGTCGAGAAGTTGAATTGCACGACTCGATGTGAAATGAATGCACATATGAACGCAACAAGGCCTAAACTCCATCATGGATAATCCGGAGCGTCGGCGATCGGGAATCGAGGCACGTTTCATCACTTGGAGTACGAAACGTCTCTCGTTTCCCGTGTTTGGACTAAACCCTACTCCAAACACAATGCAATATGCATGATATGCATAAATGCAATTATAACATGCAATCCTAGATGCAATGCCACTGAATGATGCAAACATGCAAGGGATGAAATGCAAACATGCACCTAGCATATACAATGCTAACACTACATGGCATGCATAATTGCTCATGAACTAAATGCGACTAACAACCTGTGGCATACTCAATGCGACTAACAACTTAGCGTACACAATACGAGGAATGACATGGCATACACAGTGCTAACAACATAACATGCACAACACATTGTAACATGGCATACACAATGCAAGGTGGACTTAAACCAATATGAGTGGACCTCAGCCACACTCAAATCAGTGGCCAAATGATGGAAATGAGACAACCGAAACACATGCAAACATGCACGATGCAAGGGACCAATCTTAAGGCATCAAATGCCACTCTACCAAAGCATGGTGAAGGATGAAACATGGCATAAAATGACACATGATACAGCTCTGAAATGGAAAAAAATATGGTTCCGAAACATGCAAATATGGCACACAATGCAAGGTAGGGGGGCTCGAGTACCGAAACTAGTGAAGTGCGTTACACTAGAGGTACCCAAAGCAATGCACCAGTGGCAAAACCAATACCAAATAGACCCTAGGGAGGTCTGAAACAGTGGGAAAATAGCCTAAAATGATGGCTCGGAATGCAACGAGATGAATCTCATTCAATGGTCGGCAAATGAGGCATACAAGCCCGACTCTCAAACGCATTTAAGGAGTGCAAAACATGGCAATATAGCATTCATATAGGCTCTGAAATATGATGCAAAATGGACCCAAAACATGAACACACCTCAGTATATGCATGGAATAGACCTCAAAACTCAAAGTTAAACATGGGTATTGAACTACAAGCATGCAAAACAAACATCATTCAACAATGAAACCTGAAAACAGAGCTAGGAAAGTCCAAAATAAGCACAAAATCAGTTTAAGGCATGGCCAAAAAGTGCTAACATGAAGGGCCAAAACAATGTGCAACATAGGCTAGTGAACCATGAGTTGTACTATACCTATATGAAGCATATGAGATCTCACTAAACCAGATAAAAACAGTAACATGGCATGCCAAAATATCCCAAATACTCACTGAAACTCAATCCATGCATGCAAGAATGATGGGCTCCTTTGGAAAGCCATACAAGGGGTTGTTCTACACATACATGATGGACACACCAAATGGTAAAACTGCCTCTAGAAAGAGGTTCTGAGGGTCCTAAAACCCACTAAAAAGAGCCTGAAATGGGTCTAGGAAACATGCAAATAAGGGCCCCTTTGAAAGGCCTTGAATGGGGTTGTTCTACACATGCATCATAGACACAAAATATGGCCAAAGGGGCTCCGGATAGAGTCAAGGCAGACCTTAAAACTCACAAATAATGGCCTGAAACAAGACTTCGAAGCATGTAAAATGGAGCTCCTTTGGAAGGCCAATAAAGCTAGTAAAGAGAACAAGGGGTGAGAGGGTCACCCCTCTCTGATTTTAGCTCTCAAAAACACATCTAAGCCACTGAAAATCCACTAGATTTCATTGGCTAAAAGGCCAAACCAAGGCCAACACAAATGCTCAAATGTATGGCTCAAAGCATGAGAAAATGAAGCATGAAAGGAGGTAGATGACCTCGAACAAAAAAAAGACCTTGAACAAACTTGAAGAGGAGCTCAAAACAAGACTTTTTTTAGTTTATGTTGAAGCTCAAAAATGATTTCAAATAGGGCTAAGATATGAAGCAAAATAATACAAAAAAAAAAGGGAAATAGAGGCTTACCCATGTAGAGCCGACCCTCAACAACTTCTGGACCAAGGTAAAGAGCCTTCAACCTCTAAAAATCGGTTCCAAGGTGCTTGGATGGATGGTGGAGGTGTTGTGCTAGGAGGTGTAATGAAAATGGTGCAAGAACTATGGGGTTTTGGAGCTTGGAAGAGAGAGATATGGAGGGAAGTGTATGTGTGCTCTAACCAAAAGGTTCAACCCCAGCAATGGAAGAGGAGGCCTCCCTTTATAGAGAAGAGAGGCCTAAGTTTCTCTAAGAAGCTTCAAACCAAGTTCAAAGATCCTCCATACACATGTATGGAGGATCACTTCTGAGGCTTCCAGCTGGCACAACTGGCTTACACTCAATGAGACCAAAAAGCAAGAAGCAGGCCGACAAGTTAAGGTGGTCGGCCGGCCACTGCCCTTGGTCGGTCGACCAGGGGTCAAAAAGGTCAAGTTGAAAAGGTGGTCGGCCATACCAGATTGGTGGCCTCCCAGGTGAGTACAACACAGCTGTATGGTGGGAGACCAGAAATTGTGGCCCAAGAGTGAGAAAAACTGGCTTTCTAGCAAGGCTCAAAAGGGTCAGAAAGAAAAGCTGGTCGGCCTACCCATATTGGTGGCCTCCCAGGTGAGTACAACACAATGGTGCTATGGGAGACCAAAAATTAAGGTCCAAAAGTGAGAAAAACCAGCTTTCTGTCAAGAAAACCGGTTGGAGGAGAGAGAAAATAATTTTTAAAAGAATTGCTGGTCTCTCACCATCCTACCACCTTCCTAACAATGAAAATAGGGTCCATACCAAAAATGAATCCTAACCAATGCAAAATGAGGGTTCGGGGGTCAAAACGCGCAGCCTGGGGCCCCGAAAACAGGTTGTTAGGTACCGGAAGTGGTGCGCGACCCCGAAGGTGGTCTCCCGGGCCACAGTGTCCCTCAAAAGAGAGGAAACAAGGTGTGTGCCAAAAACCAGAGCAAACGGAGGTAGTTAAGCGGTCCCAAACCAAGGCACAC